AGAGGTAGGAGAGGGGAGACTCGGCAGAAGTCGAAATTATGCGAAGGCCTAAGGCTTGCCCGCGCTCTGCCCGCGCCTGCTCAACGTCCGTAATTAATTCGTCGACGCAGTGCTGATGGTCCTCCGAAAGGCAGAGGAAGAGCAAGGACCTCTCTCTCTCTCTTTCCCTTTCTCTCTCTCCTTTCTCCACCCTGTGCCGTGCCACCTCACGAACTACTCATTCTCTGTCTCTCCGCCCTCCTCCGCCTCGCGGGGGCTCTTTTCCTCACGGACCATCGACGAAGTTCGTTCGTAGAGTTTAACCAGAGCTCGCTATCGACCTGACGAGCAACCTCGGCGTCTGCGTCGACGTCTGCGTCGCGCAGACGCCCCGACACGGGCCGGGTTCACCAATCGATTTCAGATTTTCCAACATAACGAGGCCGACTGCTGCCCAAAAATTCCACCACATACATGAGAGCGATCCTCTCTCCTTAACGTTCCTGTCGTCCATTCGCAACACGATCCATTGTCTGCCTTAGCGCGGCGCGACTTTTCCGACGCGCGGTCACGAGCGAAAATGTTCACTCGACGCTTTTCGACTCGTCCCGTCGACGGAAATATTCGGACGAAGCAATATTTATTTATTATCATATGTCTATTTTTGTTATTGTTAACATCAGTAGATGACATCTCATCAGCATTTTTCATAGCACACTGAGAGAAAAAAAATGATTGATCTAACTAAAATTGTAGCAATTTTTTATCCAAACTGTATTTCATAGTTGTCCTAACCAAGCTAGTAGCAACGTGCGTATAAAATTGTTATCACTAACATTATAATAAGATGACCAGATTTCCCAGCTTCAAATGTGAGACATTTAAATGTAAATGTAGGGCGCGAAGGGAAAGAGATCAATTGCATATATTTAAGAATGAAGAAATCATTAATAGACATGTTATAAAATTTAACTAAAGAAGGTCTGCTATATATAAGTAAAAATAGTAACTATTATTGAAATAAAACCGTTATTATTTTTACTCAAAATGAAAAAGAAAAAGCAAAGCTATTATATTTATCAGAGCTGTAAATTTTCTTGAGAAGGTCTTTCTTTATCAGAGACATTCGAAAAGTTCTCCGAGTCGACATAAAGCGCGCCGGTTTGACTGAATTCAGGACGAATTCAGATAGCACCCGGAAAAACGACAAGGGATTGTCCCAGGAAGAACGGGACGTCTGGTCATCTTAATCACAGTAGAATTTAATGAAAAAATAGTTCTCTCGACCATAATTTACAGTAATTATTTCTCTATGTGATTACAATCGCAAATACCAAACATTCTTCTCTCACTGCGCCTTCCAAAATCGATCAACTGCGAAACGCGCGTGAATCATCTATTTCTCGCAAGATCGGCGATAACGTAACGGTCGCGTTACGACGGAGTCCATTAAAATTCTTCCCGAATCGACGCGTCGCGTTCTTTGATACGTTTCATCGCGACTGTTCTCACCCCCTCTCCATCCCTCTCACGCTCACCCTTTAGGCGAGACCTCATATGACGGTAACTATTTGATTGCTACCAACGAGATGGCTAACCTTTGATCAATTTTTAACAAGTTTGCCTTGGAACCGGCCGTCAAACGTCCCCGTGCACACAGGCAGAGAGAGAGCTCACACCGGCCGCTTTTGATTTCAATACTACTTCCTCTATCGTGCTTTATTACGCTCTGTACCTTCCGATAACCGTACGAATCGGCGCACGTGTAGCGATTTTTACAGAAAAAAATTCGTAACGTGAGGTATCTCGAGAAATGAGAGCACCCCGTGAAACGCGCGCGGCGTCTAATCGCGTACACGCGGCTGGTGCGTGTTCGCGACGGTAAAGTCTCGAATGTCCTTTAGACATTTACCCCGGGACCGCTTTGTTTCGCCTGTGTTTCCAGAATACAGTAGAAACGGCCCGATTATGACCGCACGTGCTTCGCATAGGATCTCGCGACCCTAACGCTGAAATGACCGTTGTATCGTCTCTCTCGCCCTCTCGCGGTTGATGTTCCCCCTGGCACGTGACTCTCTTGCGCGCGGTAAAACGAAATAAAATGTTATAGGATCAGCTAAGTAATCGCAAAAATTCGCCGAGCTAACTCGAGCGTCGAGAAGGCTACGAGGCCAGTGAGTTTCGACCATCTAAGAGGGCAAAACTTCGGTAGAACGAGGTGCGTAAATAATGGGCCACGTAAATATCAGGAATTCATTCGACTTCTTTCCCGCGGAGCGGATATCAATGCGAGCAGTTCCGCTTACGATCAGACGATTTGATCATTCTATATTCGAGATTTTGCAAGCGTAATGAAGGCGACGTCTATTGGAGTTTCCCCCGAGTATGGAGTTCTCTTTCTCTCTCTCTCTCTTTCCCACTCATTTACCCTCTGTCCTTTTATTATCGTTCTTCGTACGCAAACAGAAGTGCACTAAGATTATTATTAGCGAAACCTTCTAGCTTCCATTATTCAGCAGGCGCCAAGAACGTAGTCGTTTCTCGGCCCGAAGGACGAGTCGAAGAGAGAGTCCTAATTTCCCAAATCAATCGTTAATTTTTATTGACTCCCCGAAGGTGGTATCCTAAAGAATCCTATCGGGGAGCAAGGATAGAAAGAGAGAGAGAGAGAGAGGGGGAGAGAGCTTTTTCCCGGATCGCGGGGAGAAAAATTCAATTCAATTCGATTAGCGAGACCGGAGAGAACAATCGTGGCCGTGCCACGAATTCTCAAGTGATCGGCCGCTCCCGATAATCGTCGTTCTCGAGATCGACCGAGATTTTTCCAAGCTTCTCCTCTTCTTGCCACGTTTCCCGATAACGGTACGACTCCCTCCTCGTCTTCGTCGGCTAGTATTCCATAATAATAAGTCAAGGAAGTAATTAGCGTCGATTTATCGTTCTGACTCTCTCTCTCTCTCTCTCTCTCTCTATATATATATATATATATATATATATGGCATAACGAACGCAAGAAGGGTCGCCATTATATCGAAACACGCCCCCTCGGAGACTGTCGATATTTCCAATATCGTGTTCGCCGAAACGATCGTATTTACGCGTCCGCCGCGCCGTACAATTCGTAAGGCGCAAATTCGCTTAGATCTGTTCGTGACGTGGCACGTCATCGGGCGCCGGCGTCACGCACCCGGAGCTAATCGGCCGAGCAGCTCGTTCGGCAAATTGGGTTAAATCTAAATCTTGGTCTGCTCGGGATCTGTTCTTTTCCCCTTTCCCCTCCGCGAGATCCTCTCGTTTTCCCGCGCTTGCTCTCTTTTTCGCTCTCACATCGATTATCTCGCACGCTTCATTCTTCATGGGCCGATAGAGCACGTGCGACTCGTTCTCCCAGGCGTGAAAGGGAGCGATCCCGTAAACGAAAGTAAAATGCGGCTAATCGGCCCTCTCGAGACCGCGGGGACGCTGTTCAAACGCTCGAGAGGGAAAAAAGCGCAGCCCACCGGACGCGGCGAACGGCGGGAAAAACCGAAAACCCCGAGCGCGTCAGTAAAAAGGGATCGTCCCTAACGGCGGATGAGCGGAAGTCGGTCGTGCGAAGGGCGAGGGACGGAGAGCGCAAAAGGGGAGCGGCGAATTCACGCTCGAGCGGGGAAAAGAAGCGGCGCGCGGGCCATTTTTCGGCAGGATTTACCGCTCCCCGATTGTCCGTGAATTCGAACGGCTAAATCACCGGAATTTCATTTCTGTCCGGCCGAGGAACATTACCGTTCGTTCTGCCGTTGCGAGGGATTTTGCCTCGGGACCAGATCGCCACCGTCGCCGTCCAGAATCTCTTCCATTTCTTCTTGGCCGCGAACCCTCCGAAATCCGGGGCAGCACGGTGTCCTTAATTGGGCAGGGAGAGTCGTCGCTGGATATAAACGGTGCCTTCGATGAAGAGAGAAAAAAAGCGATGATTCAAGAGCTAATCAGTTAATTGAGTTCGATACCGAGTCGGATTCATCATTGGATCCATCTTGCGACGCGTCGACTTCGCGTGTCATCGCGTTACTACGGGAGGAAAAGAAAAGCGCGTTCATTCGCAAGATCGTGGAGACGTTCCGAAATCGACTTCGGAAACCGTGATTTGAGTTACAAGGTTGGTTTATAAGAGATATGAGACCTCAAACTGACTTGAATATGTTCTGTAATCGATCAACTGATTCATGCGATCGACTTTACAATCTGAGAATTTGAGCAGATTCGACAGCTGTTATAATTAGTAAAAAACAATGTCAAGCAGAAAATTTTATGAAACTAATCGCTTCAATCGGCTGATCGTTTGCGAAACGTACCCAAGTTAATTTGAGGCCTATCAACTAAAACCAACGTTTCCGAAATCGATTTCGGAACGTATACCGTAGGAGGAGATAGTAAGAGGGAGAGAAGGTGAAAAAAGAAAAGAATGTTCGCCGGTTGCGCTTAATTGCATCTGCACAGCGATTCGAATTTTAGCGCGTCGCGCTGGAAATCGGCGATTAGATGAACGGATGGCAAACGTCGCGTAAAGCGACATCTAATTAGGTAATGAGCATCATCGGGCGATCGCAGCGGGCAATCTATCCGCGCTGATTCACAATCGTCATTTGATGGGAATCCTAATTGGATTATATGATATATACGCGTTTGGCTTAATAGCGCTCGAGCTGGAGTAATAACGAGTCCCGACTCGCTTCGTCGACGTGTCCTAAACGCGAAATCGCGGGCGATTTGATTTCTCGCGATATATGTGTATGTTAGCATTATATAGCGCTCGACTATAAAGATTAGCGATCACGACGATAATGAGCGTGAAATGAATACGTCGCCTCGGCGACTCCCATTCCCTCTTTCTCCTCCTCCTCTCTCTCTCTCTCTCTCTCTCTCTCTCTCTCTCTCTCTTTCTACCTATCTCGTGCAACGCGTGGGTGTCGGAAAGGGGAACGGCAGGAGTTACATATTACACGCACGCACATACATGTATACATGCACACGCGAATATCTTATGGATATAAGGTAGATGCTTATTATTTACTCTTATCTTTCTCTCTCTTTCTCTCCCTCTCTGTCAGGTATGCTGTACATAATATTTCATTTGTCTTACAAATATTATATAAAATTACAGTCAATCACGGAGAAGTAACCTTGCTCACCGTCACTCCCACGTCGGAGTACATATACATACACACACACGCGCGCGCGCGCGCACGCACACACACACACACACACACACACACACACACACACACACACAACCTACGCGAACGCCGCGAGATACACACTCATATACACACGCGCACATATACAACAAGCATACACAAAGTAAAACGTTGTACAGGCTCGCGGACTAAATCGGTTAGACCTTCGAACTGAGAAGAAAGAAAAGATGTGAGAGCATATAACACGCTGCCCGCACGCTTACACACGCCTCGATACATTGCCGCACTCGCACGCAAGTGCGTTCTCTCGCTCTCCTCCTCCTCAACGCGTATTCTTAATCTCCGTCTAGTTTTGATCTGGACGCGCTTGTCCGCGTCGAATCGAAGACGATCGATTGTCTGCTCGCGGGAGACCGGAGATCGATCGTCCTCCTTCGCCGCGCGAGGAGGAAGCGAGGAGTTCAAGCCACCTCCTTCTTCTTCCGTTTCTTCATCCTCTTCTTTTTCTGTTCTCTTCCTCCTCCCCGTTATCCTCCTCCTGTGTCGGCCTTAACGATCGGTTATAAGGCTTTTCATCGCGAAGCGATCGGCTCGACAAGATCTCGCCCTGTGTCCGCGAACGCGAATCTGAGCCTTCATCTTTACGGCGCGTCTGTTCCGAACACGCTTCGATCCGTCGCGCTTTGGATTCTAATATCGACAACAAACCAAGAGGGCGGAAACACGCGCGCGCGCGAGAAGAAACGTCCTTTGTTCCGTCCGCGGAAATTGTTCTCGGAGACGAATAACACCCCTCTATGTACACCCACTCTTTCTCTCTTTTCTCTCGCCCGCGTATATCGTCGATCGCGGTGCTGAGGTATCAATTTCCGTGTAATTACGCGCGATTGCGACCGCTTGACAACCCTGCTCCCCGCGAGTGTCGATCGGCGCGAGTATCGATGGCCCTCGGGATGAAAGAAGAGGTGGGTGTGTTACGCGTCGTAAAACCGTAGTCCCGGTCCGTTTCACGCTATCTCGCCCACCATGATTCTCGGTTATTAGGGTGCGAACGCGCGCGGTCGGACGTAAAAAGGCAGGAAGAAAGAGAAAAAAGGACAGAGGCGAATAAACGAGCGAATGTGCGAAACATAGAGTTGAGTCTAGACGAAAGTTCGAAACACGATCGCGCGAGCGAATATTTCGACTTTATCCCTCGGTCCAGATCCACCGATTCCGCACACGAGTCCTCCTCGTCTAAATCGTAACGTCGCGATATAGTAAAAAAAATAACGATAAAGATCGCTTTCTTCATCTCAAGAATCGCAAAAATGAAGTGTACAGGAGGGGAGAGCAGTGCACTCGGCTGTTAATGGTTTATGCACATTTCCCTCAATGAATCCGCGGCGCTCTTGGTAGTCACAACTTGCGTCTGTGTGACGTCGGATGTCTCATGTATTGTCACTTCGACTTTTGTCGTAATAACGTTTATTGCGCGAACGCGTGAAACGCGACGTCTCTCAGTTGTGGCAACCTGGAGGGCTGCAACTTCAACGGCAGGGATGCGTCTCTAATAACCGAGTGTACAAGAGCGAGTGTGAAAATCGCGTGGGAAGAACGAGAGAACGGACGGCAAAGGACGATTCTAATCAGACTTCTAACGAGTCGAACGCGGCTGTTGTTCCGCTTCTCCGCCACCAGCTTCCTTCTGCCTCCTCTGCGCTCGCGCGCGTGTATCTTTTCTCCGAAATTACATTCTCCCGCTCTGCCCCCTTCCCCGCGTGAATAAAAGTCTATAATCTCCATCGTACACGTGATTCGCATCGTTCCTCGCGTGCCGTCGCGCGAGAAACGATGCTGTTCGTCGACAACTTTTCGCGAACTCCTACGATACGTAGATGTACACACGCGCACACATACATATATACATATATGTATATGTATATATTTATATCATTTTTATTTGTATTATTCGCGATATATATATATGTATATATATGTATAAATATATATATGTTCTCACACACACACACACACAGGCTCGCTCTGCGTCGAAAGGAAATAAACGGCATGTATTATACACGAGTTATCTTGCAAAAAGGAGCGCGTATAGATCTTATTCTTTTGTTGCTGTTGTTATTCTTAAGTGATTCTTTCCTTAGCGGAAATTAAGCCGAGGTCTAATCGTCGAAACATCCAATAACGCTGCGAGTCAAACGATTATAACGAGTAACGATACCTAATGAAATTTTCGCTAAGGAAGACTCATTCGTTCACAAGATCAGAGATAAACATATCGCTGTTAATATACACTCCCAGGGGTATATATGTGTATATACCCATGTGTGTAGTGTATAACAAGCAATATGTTCGTACACTTTATCTCGCTGTAATTCTTCTGAACATTAACGAAGGCGAATTAATCGAAAATATTTTAACTTTATTAAAGCGAATCTCTCTTTCTCTCTCTCTCTCTTTCTCCCCTTTCTCTCCTTTTCTCTCACATACATACAAGCACAAAATATAAAAAAAATATATATATATTTACCAATATCAAATATACTTTAATAACGATATCGATGATTCGAGGGAACGGCGGACGTCCTGCTCGGCTAATCCGTTTAGATTCACGCCAGGATACAAACGGGAAGACGCGTTAATATCGCGACATTTCAGCGCGCGATCACCGAGAAGTACATACTATCCCCTCGAGTCGCCTTCACTCGTCTCTCCCTCCTGCCTGACTTTGATTTTCTTTTCTTTTTCTTTTAAGAGGGTGATAGTTGGGACCTACATACGTCGACCTCGAGAAACCGCCCGTCCTCAAAACAGTCCGCGACGCGCTTACTGACGATCGTAAAACCCGTGTCACACTACGGATTGGAGATAGAGGGTTGCGAGTTGAAGATTGGAACTTGACCAATTGGATCTAAGCAGGCCAAGACCAAAGTGCATTGATTCGTCGAAATCTAATCTTCAATCCGCAATTCTCAATTTCCAATCCGTAGTGTGACACGGGCTTAAGGGATCGTGTCTACGATGCGATCGCAGTTACGTTTCTTGAATAACACAGCATTAGTTGTGAATCGTGAATCATGTATCTATTCCCTGCGCTTCATTGACAAATTCAATAGAACCTTTCGCTTTCCACAGATTTACGCGAAGAAGACAGATACATGATCGACTCGCGGACTAGCGCTACGACTTCAAGATGTAACTATAACCACGTCGTCCCCCAGAGCGACGAATTTTAACACGACGTGGGTCTTCGTCACGGTCGAAGGGGGACCGTCGTCACGAGGGAGGGACGCAATCGCGCGCGACGGGGGTGTCTCGGTTGCGAACGGGAATCGGACACACACGCAACCGCAGCCACTACCGTCAGCCACAACGTAAACACGCACGCAACACTTGCGGCAGCGAGCGTACTCTACCTATATTTGTAATAAGCGTATTTCGGAAATTCGGCCAGGTGCTATATCACCTTGTTCGTACATTGTTCCCCCGCGTTTCGGCGGTCACACGACGCGTCCGCTCGCTGCCGCCTCGATTCCCATATGGCCCGACGTAAGGTCGACGTAGGTCGCGATTGATTGTAGTGCGAGAGGAGCTGCTTCATCGAAACGAGTGATTCAGTGAGATGCTCATACACGGGAAAGAAGCAGAGGGAAGAGGAGGAGGGGAAGAAGGAGAAGGAAGAAGAGGAAAGCGGGAGAATCACTGTCGTCGTTGCAGCAGCTGCGGGGATGATATCGGTTGTGAGTTTCTTTTGCGGGACGATATTGTCATGAGAGAGTTGTTGCGCGCCGCCCTCGCGATTAATCGACTCTGTGTCTCTGTCTCTCTTCTCCCCCCCCCCTCTCTCTCTCTTTCTTCCATTCTTTTTCTCTACTACCCTTATCAGACGAGACACCTGCGGTCGTGAAAATCTCGAACGAGCGCGGCGGAGGTGTAGTATTTGGTGCGGGCTCTTAATTACTTCTAGTTAGACACGGTGGAAACCTGGATCACACCTCGCGCGTTGGTGCGCCGATTTATTGCAGATTTTTATTGTTCCACGGCCGTTCGAGATTTTCGCGGAACAAGGGGACCAGGGGGAAGCTGTGTGAGGAAGTTCCCCCTTTCTTAAACGGCGTCGCAGCTTGCGTCAGTCGCTTCGTACGACAATATTCGCCGAAGCACCTTTCCACGGTAGAAGCGTATGCGTTTTGCGTAAATGATTACTTTACATGTACAACGATAATTAGGTTTCCTTACGACTAACCCAGTTCTGTCGCGCCAAAGTATAACTCGTCGACTTAATATCTATTATGTAACCGTCGCTCGGTCCTTCTTTCTCTCTTTTTTCTCTCAGTCTCACTCACTCAAACACACACAGACATACATACACACTTTCGCTCTATCTTTCCTAATAAAATCCTCGAAGAATAGAATACTCGATTATATTATTATACCCACGACACGAGAAATAAATCAACAATCCGATATATCTCGATGCGTAACAAGACGGACTAGCCCACAAGAGAAAAAAAATAATAATAAAAGATCGTGGAAAATTAATCTTTGAGTCAACCGTGTGTTGGGAAACGCGGAGAGCAACAGACAGTCGCATCAAAAATTTTCTAATGTACACTCAGTCCCGCGGGTGCCTCACCGTTCGCGATAAATTGATGATTAATGGTTACTATAACTTATCGACACATTCGTTTCTATCTACGTGTTTCTCACGACTGTTAATTTAGAAAATGGGAAGTAGGTATCTTTTGGATCAACTAATGGCGATGAGAGACGCGCGTGACTGGAAACAAACGTGGTTGGCCGAACATTTTTAGTAATTGTCGATCTATCGAACAGTAAAGTATCCGCGGACTGAGTCCTTGCTAACAGATCGACGCTACTTACAAAGAGACACGACGTCATATTACCTATCTATCTATCTATCCCTCTCACTACCACCGCACTTCTAATTCCCGATTAATAAGTCCGACAATCGTCCGATTCTATCACTACTCGAGCGAGTCGATGGCAAAAGCAAGTGTGAGAGACATACTCCGGCTCGACATGTCGCGACAAGCACCGGTTGCATGCGGAGAAAAATCAGGAGATCACTTACTACTAACGTCCTCACGATACGCGCTGACGGTCGCCCGGCGTTAACCTCGATACTCCCGATATTAGTTTGAGACTTACGTTTTCGACGGACAGCAGAAAAACGCGAAGCGACGTGAATCAATGTGTAAACGGCGATTGCTCGGCTCGAGAAGATTGAAAATGGCCACGCAATGCATGCCAAAGACCGAAAATACGCATGGAAATATTGTCGCGGTCCGACAAGAACACTCTCTGTACAGTCCTCTCTCTCTCTCTCTCTCTCTCTTTCTCTTGCTAACAGACCGACGCTACCGGTCGAGATTCGGCGTCGCGCACGTCTTACATTTCGTCCTTCTCTTTCCCTCTGCTTATGTCACCAAATTTCTAATTCCCAACGAATAAACACGACAATCGTCCGACTCTGTCACTACTTGAATGAATCAATGGCAAGAGTAAGTGTGAGAGACACACGCCGGCTCGACGCGTCGCGATAAGTATCGGTTGCATGTAGATAGATATGAAGATAGATTACTTACTAATAAGGTCCCCACACACGATACGTCCCGACGATCGCACGTCGTCATCCTCGACACTGCCGACACTTGTTTCCCCGCGAGACTCACTTTCGACGGGCAAAAGACGCGCAAATCGCGGAGTGATGTCGATCGACGTGTCAATGGCGGCTGTCCGGCGCGAAAAGACCGAATATGCCCGCGCAAATGCTGTCGCGCCGCTACAACAGCGCCCTCTGCTCAGTCACGCGGCTTCGATCGATCGATCGATGTCGCCTTATCATTCGACAGATCGATTACTAAGCGTGCTCGACCAACTACACTCGTTTCGAGCTACGCGCTCCTCATCGCTACTAATTAATCCAGAAAATTCACGCTTTCTGAACTAATCTCGAGTTATGAGAAACGCACAGTCAAACACGAACACGCGGTTGGCTGAGAACCGAATGTATGTAATATACGACGGAGAAACCAGCGATCATGTAACACTCGCGATTAATAACACGAACGGAGGACGACATACACATGCTGGGGAGGAAGGGGCCCGGATCCGGCAGACGTAACGGGAATATATCATCGGCCGAATTAGGAAACGTCCCAACTTGAATTTTTGACGAGACACTCGCATTTCGCCCGACTTGTCCCGAGAGATTCTGCATCGTTCGGGAAATCTCCCGTAAAATTGGCATCTTGTGAGTTGAGAGGTTTTCTAATTTTTTCGACACGATATATCCTCCAGTGCACGAAATTTCTTCCGCTTAAGACCCTGCCGTGTCGCTCGAAGTCGTAAGCGTTTTTGCGCTCGTGTGCGCGCGCGAGCGAGCACGATGTCATGGTTTAGATGAGAGAAAGGTAACGTTACACATTTACAACACTACACAACTTGTCCACCCGGCCCTCGCGAAACGAAGAAGACGATTTCATAACGATTAAACGTCTTAGCGCTACACTCCGTAAAACTTATCGATCGTAAGAAGGCAATTTAAAGTCGTCTCGTTCCAGGGAACTATCTAAAACGTTTCGAGGACCGAGGTTTCAACGTGACAATAATCGCTTGGACATTCATCGTCGCCGAATCGATTGTTCTAAAAAGGACCAAAGAAAATCGAAGAAACGAATGCGTATACGGACAAAAGAAAATCGAAGAAACGAATGCGTATACGGGGTATGCGTAATACGGGGATGGGCTCCGCGAGCTGAGAAGGAGAAGATAGCGGAGTAGAATAATGCCGGTTTTTTCTATCTCATTCACATTCTTTCTGTCACTTTCTGTCCGTTGTTGCTTTTTCATTATTCGACTTAATACTAAGTTACTCGGATAAAAGTCGCGCGTGGTCCAGTACTCAGAGACGGGATTTAATTGAACGGAAAATGAAGTTTTTATCTCGTTATCGATTGCCGATGCGTTCACTTAAAATATTCATTCGTCGCGCAAACGTATCTACTATCGATCTACCCGAGAGGAAGGACAGAAATATTAATTCCATTCTTTCACAGAGCATACACACGAAAGCAATTAAAAATATAGGGCGCTTCATTATTAAAAAAAAACGGATAATGCACGCGACGTGTAAAAGAATATCGGATTGACGTAAGAACGAAAAATAACTGTACGCGGATCTTTGGTGAACGGACGCAGAACGGAGAATGTCTAAAGAGTATATGCGTGTTCCGGTGTGCAACGTCGTGATTGTACACATATTCAATACGGTGGGGAGAATACGCGGGATATAAAAATATACACACAGGGGGTCATTCCGATGCCAGTAACACGAATTCCGCGCTGTACGCCGCGTTTGTCGAAAATATCGCTACACCTCTCACGGTCGCCAACTCCGCGCTGCCCGAGTGGAGGGGTAGGGGAAGGGGGAAGGGGGGAGAAGGACGGGGTGGCAGGAAGAAACGAGAAGGCAGGTGAATTCGATTCACTGACCGATTCTATCCGGGATGATCATCATCAGGCGTAACTATTAATTCGCGGAGGGGAAATTCAATTAAGTTTGCGGTACGTAAGTGGGGAGCCTGATCTGATTAACCTTATTGGATAGAGACTTCTATTACGCCAGATCGAAATCTCTTTCGCCCCTTTTCTTTCTCCATGGTCGATTTCTCCGGGCGTTCGGACTGTCGCGAAGCGGCCACGAGTTACGAATTCGTTACGAACGGACGGCGGGAACAAAGGTGGTGATGGTAAAGCTACGAGGAGAAAAAGGAAAAGAAAAAAAAAAACAGGAAAGAGAGAGAAAAAGGAAAAGGAGAACAGTCGACCTCTAAGAAATCTATAATATAAGACACGTAGAACACATATACAGAAATTAAATATGAAATCTATAAAAAAGGTAAGAAAAAGGAAAAGAAAAATGCAATAAAATCCGGGCGAAGTAGCTCGATCAACCTCGCGCGCGAATTTGAGTATGTACATAAGTACTCGTATCTAATAATGTATGTCTGTATGTGCGTGTGTGTGTGTGTGTGTTTGTTCTTTCTTTTTGTTATTACTTGTGTTATGCATATGCTTAGGCGTTTCTAAACGCGAAAGGAAATGCAACAAATAAAGGTTGATTCGGCGAACCAAGACCGGCAGAGACCCGAGATTATCGACATGTAATTCCTACAACGAATATCGACAGTAGAAATATTATAATCTTGTTAACGCCTCTCGCGTAAATTTAACAATAATAACAGATTATTACGAAATCGTTATATTGCATAATATGTACAAACTACATTTTGGTTTCCTCTTTTTCTCTATCTCCCTTTGTCTCTCTCTCTCCCTCTCTCTCACACACAGGCGCACGCTCTCATTCATTCATTCATTCATACATGCACTCACTCCCTCACTTACACAGAACACATACACACACATTTTCTTTCTCTCTCTCTTTCTCTCTTGGTCGTTCCTCAAATCCCTGCGTCAGTACTTAGAAGACACCTTAACCAACTATTGTTTCATCGGAACAACCGTAACGGAAAACAATAAAACATCATGCAGGAATTCGAGGCAGACGATTAACGATTCTACTCGAAACGTGACAAGTAGATCCTATGGGAAGAGATGATTGAAGCGACAGATTTACTAAACGCTAGACAAATAGTTCTAAAGGAACAGGCGCATCCATGCGCACACAATATAAGTTAGAAAACAATTTTTTCCGTAAAAAAGGGGAAGAAATACATGTTTTTTTTTTTTCTTTTTACCGAGAATCGCGATAAAGAGGCAACGATAAATTATACACGTACGAGAAAGCTCTCCGACACTCGATCGTGAGGAAAATTACATTTTTTATGAACGTAAATTTGTAAAACGAGCATTTCGGTATGTGATTCTCTCAGTCTGACTTTGACGAAAGAGGAAATTTTTTAAAATACATGTAAAAGCGGCACGAGTTTTTTTCTTTTTTTAAAATATTTTCTATCTTTTTTTTCATCTTTTTTTTTCCTCGTTTCTTTAAAACGTGTAAAGCGGCGCGTAAGTAACGCTAATGTTTGACGATTGATTATGGACGAACGAAAGGTTGTGCCGAAATACTCAATGAATACTTATGCTTGCCTAAATACTCGATGAATACTTGACGAATACTTGATAAATATACAGTCTTTGAAAAGAGGAATGCATTGTGTGCGAATAAAATTCAGGTGGTGAAAGTAAAATTTGTGCGGTTCTCATTTCTCTCGCACGCACGCACTCACTCATCCATCCACCCATATACATATACACACATACATACGCATACACACCGATGGGATTAGCGTATCGGACATCTTTCTCTCTCTCTCTCTCTCTCTCTCTCTCTCTCTCTCTTTCTCTCTCTCTACTGGCTTCGACGACAAGAGAACGAAATTATTTCAGTCGCACAGTTAAACTTTTTTACGGAGTCAACAAATTACGAGAACTATCTAGAATTGCGTCTACTAATGAGTCAAAACACTAATGATTCGCTGAGTCACGAGTCATTTAGCAATCGGAGTCGTTGATTTTTTGCCCTAAGCACGACACCATCTCGCACCATCTTTCGCACTACTGTATCGTTTAGAACGCACGTAAAACGTTACTCGCGACCGATGTTTATACCATTACCATGTCCTCGTCAATATTCATAATCGTCGGAAACGAATTGTCTGCCGAACTCTGCCTTTGTATGGGCTTCTTCCTTACGAGTCCGTCTGTGATTAATAAAAGCAAAACCTTACTTACACCTAACAACCAATAGCTAACCACCTGTCTTCAATGTAAAGCAACTTTATCTTGAAAATAACGATTTCATCTCGAGTATGTTCTTAATCCTTAATGAACATGCTTCTATTTTCACAACTTGTGTTTCTTCGTTTATTCTCTCAGCTGTTAAGTTCTCAATAAAATAATACGTGAAACAATCCAAAAAGTGCTGTATTTTATCAATCTTCCAAGAAACAAAGCGCCGCATCGTTATAGCAAAATATTCAGCTAATCACTCGTGATCAAATGTTTAAAAAGTTACTCACCAGCGGAAGGCGGCAGAAGATCGTCGAGAGATCCGTCGTCTAAATCTCCTGACATGAGAAGATCATCGTCCGAAGAAGCCCTCGTTAAACTAGGTAGAGTAGATGTCAAGAGAGCTTTTTCCTTCTGAATCTCTTGTATGTGGCCGACGAGCAACGCCTCTTCTTCGTCCCCTCGATCTCTGTCGCGATCCATTGCACCTACTCTTCCCGCAACGCTCGGGATAGCCGCGTTTAATTCCTCCGGACTGAAGATCTTGGACGATCGTAGACTAGACAGTCTATGGGTCGCCGTGTGACAGGCGGACTCGAGAGTATTAATGTCCGCTAACGTCGCCCTGACGACCCGCAATTTCTCCTGCACGATCGTCTCGACGCAACGCGTCTGTCTACCTACGTCTTGAAGGGAGTCTTGCGCGGGCAACGTCCTGTTCGTCCGGAGGATGCACGGTGCGAAGACTATGGCCAGAGCTGACGGCGACATTCTGTTGTCCACCTCGTGTCGCGCTACTCGCGCCAGATGGACGATCAGGCGTTCCATCAGATCGAAATTTGGCTTCGGTAACTTCTTCAGTATGGCGAAGAGCGTGCTGATCCTGTCATGCGGGTCCGTCAAGTTGGCCGCGTGCAGGAAGTCGTCGTAATACTCGTAGGTCAACAGCGGCTCTGGCATGTCTCTGAAGAAGCTCTTCAGCACTGCAGCTAGCACATGCACTTGATAGTTTTCGAAGTCCACTTTCTCCAAATCGCCTTCGTCCATCTTCATTTTGAGCTCCCTCACTTTGGAACTGACGCCGCTCTTTCGGTATATTCCCTCGGTGTAGAGACCGTGCATCTCGATCGTCGTGATCAGACGGTCCACCACGAGCGGCACTTTACCGTCACCGCAGTCTAGTTTGTACAGAGGTACACCGAACACCTTACGCGAGTTGCTTTCGGGTATCGAACCTTCCTTGCCACACTCCGCCGCCGCCTTCATGTAGCATTTTTTATGACATGTCAGTTTGCAATCTGAAAGTGGAGAACATTTATAACAATCGTTGTTGAGATCGTTAAAGAGGAAAGTATATATACTTATATTGTTCAGTTAAGTTTACTTACTTTGGCAAACGAGTCCTCGCTCGATCGGCCACATGAAAAAGGACGTGCAGACCTCGCAAGCGGTTGGTATGTTGATAATAGTCAATTGGAACATGTGATTGCCGTGCCGTATGGGTTCCTCTTGTTTCCGCTTCTTCTCCTTCTTCCGTTTGCTTTTGCTTTGCTTTTCGGGGGCTTCGGTTTTAACGATCGTCATAAATTCATTCATGAAGCCTCTGAATGCATTCACACCCATCGTTACCGGGAAATCCTCCCTCGTGTTCTCCTGCTTGCAGACGGTTTCCATAACGTGAAGAAAGTTGGCGATCAAGTCGGTATACTTGATGTTGCCCTCCACGCCTTGTTGATGAATGGCGACGCTGTACGTGATCACCAGGTCATCCTTGAACTTCCTGAGAGCCTGCTTGAAAACGCGGTCTACTTCGCTTGGCTTCCGTCCCTCCTCTTGTCCTTCCATTATGTAGATCTTTTTGGTAATGAAGTCTTGCATCAGTGCCAACTCCTTCGCATCGGAGATGATCTTGTCCGTGCTGTCGGAGAAGGCAGAGGTGCCGGTCAAACTGAATTTAGACGCCACCGTTTGCTTCGTAGTGTCGTACGGTGTGCGCGGTGGTTTCCTGTTTTTCCGTCTGTTAGGTGTATTGGCCGATATACACGGCATCTTTAGCACTCCGCCGTTCTGGATGCATTTCACATGATAGAGTTGCTTGCAGTCGATACATTTGTAACCCTGCGTCACGAATGCGTCCATCTTCTCGTAGCAACACACACATACGTCGTCCTTCGCGAATCTCGCGACTTTCCTAAAGCGATGACCGGCCAGAGTGAACAGATTGCCCTTCCATTCGAGAAGGTTCATGCTGGGCGTGAGTTTCATATCATTGGGACTAGTGTCCGATCCTATCTTGTCTTCGCTCAGGCCCGAGATTTTTGTAGCCGGATCCGAGTTTCGTCTTCGTAACTCGAGAGTCGTAATCGCGTTGGATCTCATGCGTTTACCAGGTTGTTGTCCCTTGTACGTAGCCTCGTTCTTATTGATAGGCCAGTCCGTGACGGACCTGGACGTAGCTTCGTGTGGGTAATCTTTCCGGGACCACACATGCGACGTTTTGTTTAGGTCGCTCTCTTTGATCGTACCGAGGAACAGATTTCGCGTCTCGGTGTTCGCCTCGGACACGCTCTCGCCCATGGATCGACACTGGACCTCCCTCGATGGTCTGTTTCGCCTGGCGCTTCTCACCGGCACGTCCGGCTCGTGTTTTTCCTTCAATCGCGAGTTCTTTTCCTTCGGGGATGAACCTCTCAATAGAGAGCTTTTTAAAGCGCTGTCTTCGACATCCACCTTCGCCGCGGTGTCTCCTTCCGAATTTTGTCGCCGCAAGTAACCGAGATCCTTAACGTTCTTTATAGGTCCGTGCATATGATCCCGCTTCGCCGGCGATATCGGGACGTTCTCCGTTCTTTCGTCAGGTACGCTATTGTCACTGAGTCTACGCTGTTGTCTGGCACTCGCCAAGCTCTCCATTTGTGAGAAACGATCGCTCGTATCGAGCTTGACGTTGAAATTCGCCGCTTCATTCGGCTTCTCTTGCTGCCGAGCTGGCTCGAACACGCTATCGGTAACGCTCTTGTAGTGAGACACGTTCGGGGAACGTGTGACGGTCGCTTTCGGAGGTACCAACATGAAATAATCGCCATAATTGGCGGACGAGTAGTCCACTCTGCGGCGCCAAATTTCTGAACTCGGACTATGCGTTAAGTTCACGTTGGCGGAATGATATTTCATGTCGCGTGAACTGTGGAACGGCGGACTGGTGTTGAAGACCGGCGGGGCGCTCTGCACATTGAGAGTCTCGCTCTCGGTCTCGCCGTCGCTATATCCTGTCGAGGAACTGTCGGTTCTCCTGCTAACCGAAGAGAGTCGACTAGAAGCGTTTATTAGATTCACATTCGACGCGACTACTGGCGAATGGTCGCCGCGTTTTGTCCTTGTACTCGGTATCGGTTTCGAACTCGAGTTGTCCTGTGATTCGGAGCTGTTAATGCTAGCTTGAGATTCGTAACTCCTCAGGCTCGTCAGACTTTCCAGACTGCTCTTGCGTTCCGCGATTTCATCAGAATGATACGTTTCCGTACTCTTCAACGTTGGTTCGTGTAGAATTCGCTTGTTTGGTGTGAGCTTCCGTTTGGAATATGAGATGCTCGTATCCACTGCGCTTTCTCGAGGTACGTTATCGCCCCTGCAAGCAGATCGATATATCTTGCGGCGGTTCTCTCTCTGGCAATCGTCTGTGAAATTTAGAATTTCGACACCTACCTTGCTGACGTCAATCGGTTCTGAGATTCTATTTTCCGAGGCGACACGCCATATTCCGTCAGACTGCGATCTTCCGTGAACGATCTGTATATTAAAAGAGAAAAGATAATAATAACGATAAAAATAAGAAAAAAGAACTTTCCACATTACGCGCAATTTATAAACGTCACTTACTCTTCGCTGTCTCGATCTTTGGCGCACACTTTGTGGTCATATATGAGATGGTGGTAACAAAGCTCCTTGTACTCTTGAGGTTCTTTGATTTCCTGAAGCTTACCCGGCCTTTTTTGCTTCTTTAATTCATTGAACCTCTTCCTGGCATTGTTGCCTCTGACATATGTTTGGAAAGTAATCACGCACAACTTGAGTTTCTTAAACCAACTGTGCTGTTTGTACATTCTCCAAGCAGTCTGTATGTGCAACGCCGCTTCAGTTCTCGCGCGAATCACTTGAGCGAGTCTCTGCGCGGTGACCATTCTCCAGAAGGATTGTATTTGCACGACGGCATTCTTCAGCCGGAGGAATTTCCTCCTCTCCAAGCAGGCGCGGAACCATTTCTGTATCGTGGTGATGCTCGTTATGATTTGTTGATGTAGCTCAATGTCTAGTTTGATTTTTTCGGATTCTCTAAGGAAGACTTTTGTAGTGCCCAGTTGGTAATTGTCCCGATTAAGATTGAGAGTGAACAAGAAATCCCTCACGTCGGACTGTGAGCTCAGAAGACCTTTGGGAAGCAGCATTCGATACAACTGTATGAATTCCTCGTACGTTAGTCGCACGTTGAAACCAGCCTGTCTTATTCTGACAGTCTCCAACATTCCCGTGTAGCGCAACTGTCGTTGCACCGTTTCCTCGTCGAATTCGTTCGGTACTTTATTAGCATTGCTTTTGATACACCTGATGAAAAAAGGATTAGCTTGATTCAGAGTATCCATCAGGCTATGTAAACTCTGCTGGAATTGTGCAGATACGGTCATGGGCTGTTTCCTGGCCTTTCCGGGCCCGGTGCCATAACTCTGAGTCCTCCCGGCGAGTGTCTTCACGGTTTGTAGATTTTTCAAACCCTTTTTGCCGCGTTCCCTTGGCCGGAAAGATTTGTTTTTCCTGTAAAAGTTTCTGTGCTAAAATACGTAACGATCTCGATATCGCATGACCTATCGTGTCCCTTCTCCTGTTATCATGTTTCTCTACGTTGTCACTTTTATTCGTGACATATCACACAATATACTCAATATACGTATTAATATATACATGATAGTTTATGTACATGTACGTATTTTGCACACAGGAGGAGTCACACTCTAGTCACATTCTGCTATTGCTAATGGTACGCATTGAAAATATGTATCTAATATACAAGATAGAATACAAGATAATAGAAAATTGGCAGAGCATGATTCGATACAGTAGAAAATAATCTCATCATGATAAGAAACATAGCAAGCTCAACTATACTCCAATATCCGATAGACAAACATTGTTATGATATAAATAAAATGTTAATGCGGATCCTTATAGAGTTATTAATTCGTGATTAAAATAATACAGTTATTTCATCGGTCAGTGTTACGTTTACACCGTGTATTACACACAAGTATAATCGCATAATCGTAACAGCAGCCAGTACGTACTCTACATAAACATGTGCGTATTTTGTCAAACTTGTTACTTCTGTCGAAACTACCGTAAAACACATAGCATGCAGCAGTTATCGTTCAAATGGCGTATCGAGAGCAAAACTGCACAAAATCGATAAACTATAGATCTAATGACAAGTGATCTTACGATGAGATATGGAGTAAGGTTTTCTAGAAAGAAAGAAAGAAAGAACAATGCAGCGATAATGTCGTTGAAGAAATTAAGAGAAAGAGGTGAGAATAAAGCCACGGTACAGTTCTGCATATTAATTGCCTACGAAAATACTATTACCTACAAAAAGGAAACCCATCACCATCCGATATATCGCTATTGCGAGCGCATATACTATCTTGGCTCTTTTTTTTTCGTAAAGAACAGTAAGATTTCTGTAGCTTAAGAATACATTGTTAATTGAGTATCGAGTAGATACGTTTTACATACATGACGATCTGATTAGCGCGTTCCATGACGTTCGCTTCGTCTTTTGGAAGCACCCTCTCTAGCGGTGTGTGAGTATCTCGTCTGAATTTATTATTACTATGGGGTTGGTCTTCCCTGCCCCGTATTACGTAACCCTTCGCCGATGTAACGTTCGACGGGTGTTGCGTCTGATTAATGTTTCTAAACTGTGGCCACGATAGGCGATTGTTGTTTATATTGTCGTTGTTTTCAATTTGTATAGGAGGTAATGTGGCGGAGGGAGCGGTCGGTGATAAGCATACACTGCGCTGCTTCTGATAACTCGGCGGGCGAGTGTGTTTGTGCGAACTGAAAAATTCTCTGATCCTTAGTTGTCTCGTCGAGATCGACGATATCTCTTACGATTAATTTAACTAAGTATCATTTAACAAATAGAAATGTATCTCTGGTACGCTTCTTTTCTAACGGCTTTTCGATTGTACCGAGCTTTATACTAGTATGATATTCACGAAGAATGTATTGTCGATTGATGAATGATTCAAATATAAAAGGAGAGAGTTGAGATAGATAGAGATGATTGCAACATGAACTGTATATAGAACATAAACTTGGTCTTGCGTCATGAAACATGCCCAAGTACAATAGCAAGAAGAGCATCGTAAAATGGTAGAATGTAATAATCGTATAGCGAATATGTTATGAGAATATTGCATTCTAATTACGGCTAAAACACGAGAGGTGCAAACATAAATCTAAATAAAACCTGTAGACACACAGAATTGGAGTAGAAAAAAATACATATATATATATATGTATGGATTTACAAATTTTTTATGTAGTTTATATACGGATATGTTTCGCGATTATTAAGTTATCCAAAATTTGGATTGACTGATCTTTAATATACACTACTATGGTACGATGTTGTAAATCCATGGGACGCGTCAACAAAATGTAACATTTGCCAAAATGACACATACAGTGGATCAAAAGACCACTTACGCAATTCGGTTAATAGTTAGATTGACGGCCGACAACGTCACAAGATGGCTACAAAGGGACAAAAGACAATATATGGCCAATATAAATATAATAAAATATTCGCCTTAATTTATAGAACACAAAAACTTCGTCAGCGTGATGCATGTATTATTGACGCACAACGTAGATTCATACTCTGTATTATATATAGGTGAGACAATATACAGATCAAACATATTCAAGAAACAAGCGCAACAACATCAGCACTTCCTTCTTACAGTTACCAATGTAATACTAATATATGTTGCTCTGTTATATAGGTTACAGGTGGAAGCGTTCGATACTTTCTCTTATTACCGTTCATATATAGAGAAAGAGAGATACTATTAGAATAGAAATATCAATAGAAAATTCAAATGTTACCTTATCAAGTTTTCGTTGGGCGTTCGGTATCTATTTTGTACGGACGTCTTGTTTCCGTCAACTGAAAGGAAAAGAAAAATATCTATTTATTAATTCTTTGCATTAATCGAAGAACATTAGCTGATGCAACTCGTACCTCTGCCGTGCCTGTGCGCTCGACCGGCTTCTTGAAATGCAAAGTGAGCGCGAAAGAAAGCTCGCAGTATGGCCCATCTGAATACGGCAACCGGATCGGCTCCAACTAATTCTCGCACGAAAGCGAGAGAAGAGTTTTTCAGAACTCCAACTACACCATCGGGTCGCATTAAGTCTAGATTCTTTTCTCGCATATTGGAGGCTTGGTACTTAACCGAGCCGGCATAATGACGTACCACGAACGCCGCTTCTCGGCGTTGCGGCGCCTCGTAGAACGGATTTTCTTTATGTACAGTATTAAATTTTTGCAGCAACGTCTCGTTTGTAGCGCCAGGAAAGCTGCGAAATAATATCAGATATTCGAAATATGTTCTATAAAGTTTAAAGTATACCTGGATCGCGTGGTACTGACTTGCACTGGTCATCGAGAAGACACAGGAGACCATTCGGTTTTCCCTCGATGAGATTGAGACATCCAGAATTGTCACTATATCCTATGTCTGTCCATCTGATGCCCTGCTTGCGATACTCTCGTTGCTCGTATTGGAAAACATGTTGATTGAAATAATGCTGCAGCTGTTCGTTCGCATAATTGATGCACAGTTGTTCGAAACTGTTGCAAGTTTTGAAATCCTCAAAGCCGAATATATCTAACACACCTATACTATTGCCCTGATGATCCCTAAGGGTGTCCTTTTTAGAAAGCAATGCATGGTTCACCTACAAGCAAAATATCAATAATTTTCTACATTACATGATTAATGTGAAACGTTTGTTTTCGCAGATAAAATCGTTACCTGCAGGACGATCCAATCGAACAGAGCTCCGTACAGACACTTCGCCATGGCGTCACGTGCTGCGATTGCTTCGGGAAGCCTATAGTTAATAACTAGAGTCTCTCCAGAGGCTCTCGCACGTTTGGCGGTAAGTGCGGCCAATAGAGTTTCTTGCTTCACTCTGAGAAGTTCCGATATCAAAGCGACTACTTCTGGATTCTTAACGCCTACAGCCTCGTCATGATGATGATACGACTTTCTTGGGTGAAACTCGACATTACCTGAATAAAAAAAAATGTAGTATTAATTCGGGTATATGTTGCCGCAATTATTCGGTAATTACCCAGCAGAAGGACCGCCGACAGAACTGCAAACAGTCGCCTCTGTTTCTCCGCCGTGAAGCCCACCATCTCCATGGACTGTTTCAATCTCGAGAATTCGTGCCGCTCGTCGATATTCTCCAGTCCGTAACAACCACTTTTATTTAAGTAATTATACCGATCACAGCTCTCCAAGTGCAACAGCTGTTTTTCTTGCTCACTCGCGCCAGCCAGTAGGTAGTAAAACACGTGATAATTTCTTTCATTCCGTCCCTGAGAGACAATCCTTGATTTCTCCAGGAGATACTTCTGAACCACAGCGCTGTAAAATGCATTTAGAAGGTCATCTTCCGTCTTTGCCGCGCCTTACACTTGGAGCATGTATTTTGTCATATACACAAAAAAATATATACTGCATTCAAGTAAATGTTATTTGTTCCAAATGTTTTATAAATTTATATATCTGCAAATCTATCAAAAGTCCATCATGAGAAACATACCCATGGACCATTCCATTTTCCTTGTAGTTTACTTGGATAAACTTGCCGAAGCGACTGCTGTTATTGTTGTGCGCGGTTTTTGCATTACCGAACGCTTCCAGGACAGGACCGGCGCTGAGTATCGTCTGTTCCACTCCGCTGCCGTGCGAACCTTTCTGACTGAGCGCTGTCAAGTGATGTAACAAGAAGTTCGTCGATTCCGTTTTACCGGAACCACTCTCGCCGCTAATAACGATGCACTGATTCTTTTTCTCCTTCAGCATACAATGATAAGCTGCATCAGCTATGGCAAATATATGCGGAGGTATGTCTGGCCCTAATCTTCTGTTTTGATATAGTTTCACGTATTTCGGATTGTAAATAGGATAAAATTTGAACGGATTCAAGGCAATCAGTATGCTGCCAACGTAAGTGTATATGTTGCCAGCCAGAAACCTGGCTCTCAGGTTATCCAAGAGAGTTTGTTCGTTCAGATCTGGAAGCTGACACAGATCCGGGTACTCTTTGTCGCGTGGTTGATAAAGGAATCTGTTGAAATAGTCCTTCAGTAGTTGAGGGTCCATAGGAAATCTACTGTCGGACCACAAATAGTCCGGCTGCTTCTTTCGTAAGTAAAACCTGCAAGTATATGGTTGAGGTGATTGTTTTGTGAGGAATTGGTTTTAAGCGATACAATCATGTTATTGTGTCGAGAGAGTGTGATAGAGACCTGTAGTATTCCTGTTGAGCGGCATTTTTCGGCCACAGTAACATGAGCGCTACGGGACACTCGGTAGGACCAAGTCGTCTTTCTTTGCATTCCTGTCCAACAGAATTTCCTACTACTTCCGCTAACTCATAGCCATTCGAAACAGAAGCGTCAACTAATCCGAGTCTTTCGATAATACATTCCACTATCTCGGCCGATGAAGTTTGCTTCGTGGCTTTGATGGATAGTGCCTCATATTCAGGGCTCCATTCACCCACAAATACTTGCACTACTCCAGACCCACAGTTGTCCATCTTTATAACCCTAAAATCGCAATTATAAGGATAGAACAATGTTCTCCAAAAGTGAAACTGAAACATAACTCAATAATGTACCTTGTATCTGTGAGGGTTAACAAGTATGTCCTCTATCATCTATACAGTATTTCAAATATGTCACCTCTCTTACTGCTTCTTGCTTACTCGTTATGTACAACCACTGATTTAAGCGTTTAAAATAATTATTATACATTTTGTTTCACAAATTTGCGATATAATATAAGATGTCAGTGTTTATGATTATTTACACGCATCAGTTATACTATATAGCATCCGCTGTAATTTATATTGTACAATTTGCTCTTGCCAAAAATACACTCGCAGCTGGTCAGGTCTCAATAGTCAATCAACCTTGTTATTATATTTATTATTTAAAGTTTTAAAAAATAAATCTGCGTGACAAAATAAAAAGTATATCTCTTCTCTGGTCGTAAAGCATATTAATAAGAAATTGTAAAGCCCTTCCAAATTATTCCTAGGTCCTTCTTAAGTCCGTTATAGAATAGTGCACAATTCATATGACAGAATATCATAGAGTATTCCAACCATTGGTTAATAATTATTAGAGTAGTAAAATAGAGTCGTTAGAATTATATCTTTACTCTCCTTTTAGATTTATAGATTCAGTCAATTTCATAGGTCCTTGTTCCTGATTTGTTCATTAGGAGTTAGGAGTATTTTTACAGCTATAGAATAGCCTGTAGTTTGAATATCATGCGTTTAATGTGGTGGACTGTCCGTTAGAATCTTCCTGACAGCCATTAAATTATTATCATCACGACATTCACTGAACAGATGACAAGTGTGGGTGTGCTATTGTTGGCAGGCAGTAACTTAGTTTCCTTGTTCTGACAAAAATCCAAGGTCTTCACAGCGCATTGTAAACATTCTCATGCCTCTTGAGTATTTCAGCATATTTATTGCGACAGTTTACAGTTGTGGGGCTGTGTATCATTTCCATGTATTGCACAAAGCTTTTTCTAAATCAGAAAGATGTTCTATCTGAAAAAAAAGGTACACATGAATGTATCAGTCACAGGCCATAGGAGCAGTGAGTTGTTTGCATAAAAAATAAGCACTGGACCGTGCTGTGGACGTTTAATATCATTTATAGATTCAATACATTCAAGTGTATGTGTGCGCAGTCGGAGTATTTCAAGCGTCTAAATAACGTGGAAGTTGAAACTTTAAGTTAATATAGGAAAGGATCGGTTTACACGTTAAATAAACCAATTCTGAATTTAGACGCGATATATAGTCTCCCTCTCTTCAGCTCTCCATATAATAAGAATGGGCAGAACGAGTGCATTGCATTTCTATTTTAAAGCTCGTCAAGATAGAACGCACTTTGAATTATATGGGAGGGAGTTATTGAAAGCAGGCTATTAAAGAGCAGAGGCGGGGATAAATATAATTTCGTGTATATCAATCGCGATCTAACCGGCGGTGAATCTCGCGACTTCGACTCTTCGTTGGTTGCGCGTGTTTCCTAAAGTCAGCCGAATTTAAAAATATCCAATTTCTGCCCCCGAGACTCGTTTTTCCGGCTGCTTCGCGCTCACAAATAACCGCTACTCTGTCTCTCGCTCCCCCTTGCGCGCACCCGACGACGACGACGAGAAAAACACCGTTCGCTCCGGAATAAAAACAACGTTCGGCCGTCGCGGTCCAGGGACTCTCGAATTGATCACGCCTCGCTCCTATACACAAAGGGTTGCACGCGATAAGCAAGCGTCATACGTATTTGCGATATGCTCTGTCCGCGTCTCGAGCGAGAGTTGACGGCTGACACTCGCGGAAGGGAGATTGTCTCGTCGAGTTGCAGTCATGCAGTCAGTACGGTCATGGACCATGCCGCCAATCAGGGTCTGCCCGGGACGCGAGCATAAACGTCAACACGATAAACCGGGCTTTAAGTCGGTAGGAATTCTCGACGAACGAGCAAGCGTGAGGCACGGCACGATGCGCGATATCACCGCGAAGGAATGTATATCGTTGCGAGATACGTGCTTGCTTACTTGCGTGCGTGCGTGCATGCGTGCTCGTTTGTTCGTTCGTTCACTCACTCACTCACTCACTCACTCACTCACTCACTCACTCACTCACTCATTTACTCACTCACTCACTCACTTACTCACTCACTCACTCACTCACTCACTCACTCACTCACTCACTCACTCACTGACTCACTCACTCACTCACTTGCGTGCGTGCGTGCATTACGCGCGGACCCAGAAGGCGTCCGCTCGCTCTATGGTCTCGGAATACTTTGGCAGAGTTACCTTCTCCGAGGGTCGTGGGGTTCACGCAGCGACGCATCATCCTCTGGTAGCGAGCGGATTCGTGTGCACTCGGACATGCTGCTGCGGGCAGAAGCCCGCCGCGTGAAAAGGCTGCCGTCTGTCCTCGGAGCCCGACGATCTCTCTCTTCCCTTTCGCATCCGCTTCCAGAGTCTCGGATCTCGAGATCTCTCTCTCTCTCTCTCTCTCTCCCTCTCTCTGTCGCTCCTCCGGACTGCCCGTCTATCTATCTCCCTCTCTCCTTTCCGTTCTCTCTCCTACTCCCGTGTGCACCGAAAGTCGCGCGCGCGAGAGAGAGAGAGAGTGAGAGACCAACAACCGTGATTCGATTTGTCCAATCTCACGATCAGCTCGCACCACGTAACCGCGATTCCGTCTTCCTCGGCCCAGGCGGACGGCGGAGAGACACGCGTGCACGTTACAATACGGGCGGGTTGACACTTCGGTAAACACGCGTCGATCGGCACACACCACTCGCGGATCCGCACGCGCAACCGGCCTGGCCGCGACGCGCTCCAAATCGCGGGCGATTCTTTCACTGCCGCGCCTCGCGTAAAGCACGTTCCGCCGCGCTAATTAACGCACGATACCGACGGCACGGATGACGGGCCCTTGCCCAGTTTATCGTCCTTCGTCTCCGCACGGGAACCTGCGTCCCGATACGTCCACCATTTCGATTTTTACGATCACGTGGTACGCGCCGACGTGCGACGATTGGTCGCGCGAGCGCGGCGACGTGACCAGTCGCCGATGCACTTCTGCCATTCGAACGGACGATGCCTTTGGAGCCGTCTGTCGCTGACACGGCGAAGCCTCAGGCCGCGAGATCCCGTCACTTCTCCGTCGCTCCGGCGCGACTCTCACGCGCGACTTTCCCGGCCTGTTCGTCGTGAGCCGAGTGTCAACTACCGTGGTCGCTGATTCCGCGTCTTTCTTCGCCGGACACGTCATTGAGTCGATACGTAATTGTCATCGACTCCGATATCGCGGGTATATACACACTGATACGTCATGACGTCGTTATCGACTCGAAAGTAAACGGATGACGCCAGTATTTGGCGCGCGCAGGCGCACGGTAATGTCCTCTGGCGCTCACTCTCGAGCCAAGATCCCAATTACCGACGGATCAGAGTCGACGATCGGCCAGAGAGGGCGCGAGCGACCCGCCCGCGCGAAATTCGCAGCGACTTATCGAGAGGAAGATAGCGAACCTTAACGTTACTATGTATCGAATGATAATAAAGAGATGTGCATTGTCATGATAAATACGGCGCATTTAATGTGTCCGAGTAAGAAACGCCAAGCACAATATTCCCGAACACCCACGAGCCGCTATTCATAGTTGGCGTCTTTATGACTGTCGGCGACTGCCAACCATTAACCTATACCATATACCGTACCATCGTTCGTCGCTACTGACAGCGAATGCAATCGCACGCAATTCACACGCAATTTACACGCAATTTGATGCAATAATACGCGTTAACGCGAGTAACTTGAAGTTTGCCTTACGCGAGATAGTTAGGTCGGAATTTAAAGCTGAGTTCTTTCATTTAAGTCGTATGCCCTTATAGAAATATCATACTAGGAATCATTGATAATTACTTATTATCCAGTATTTTTAATACTAAAAATAAGTAATTATCAATGATTCTTAGTATGATATTTCTATAAGGGTGTGACACATACGTATGACACTATATATCTGTAATCATGTTTCAGTTAAAAATTTTTACATACAACTCTAAATTTAGATTTGACTGGAGATGAGTTTCATGTAACTTTAATATGCATGTCTGAGAGTCTCCGCCCAAGAACATCCGTAACATGTTAAGTTTACGAATTTCTTTGTGCGTTGACTTAAGTTTAAGTTTACGTACAGGTATGGCCATTGTATTGTCAATACTTAACGTAACGTAACATGTTACGGATGTGCTTGTGCGTTGGCTCTAAGATTTACCAAAGCAGGGCAGCGTACTATAGATGTCGAGTCTCGAAGTGTGGGTCTCGTCACCTCGTATGATTCCACGCTGGTATAACACGGTGGGTCCCGATTACGAAAATAAAGATCGCGGTCAGTCGCACTCGCCCGAACCGACTGACACGTCTACGCGATCGCCCATCACTGAGACATTCCCGACACTCGTTTGCACGCGAAACTCACTTTCGATGTGCAAACAGTTGCAACTTGTATTGTACCCCAATACGGGGCGATACGAATGGGAATCGTCGCATACTACGCGAACCGGTGACGTCACGGTGATGTTTCATCATTCTGAACTGTTTGATATAATAACGCAATAATAACGCAATGTAATAAACGCACGATGCACAATAATTAGCAACAGAATTTTCTGGTGACATTGTTTATCTTTATATTCCGAACATGAGGATTATCCCGAGTACACAGTATTATTTAATTCCATGAATTTGAAAGACTTGGCAGCCACTATAATCTTAGCCGCTGATGTCGAGTCCATAGATACTCACGCCCTGTAACCGTCATTCTATCTTTATCGTTCATTACATGCAGAAGAAAGATAGAATGACGTGTAAGTATTTAAAGTAAACATAGTCTACGATAATCGCAACTCAATGATGTGCATTCGAGCCCGGGCTAGCAAGCATTTTCTTCACTTACGTACACAGATCGCTCTATTAATTCATGTGACGATTGTCGTCACTCGAATGCACATCACTGTCGTAACTTGAGTTTTTACGTGTTACATCGCATTTTTGCTGAATTTGAGAATTTATCCGGCATTTTCGGCGATTTTGGCCCATGAATGAGCCTCGCACATGAAATATCATCGCCAAGAGAATCGAGAGTGAGTCACGCTGTACATTGTGGAAAATATCGTGAAATAATCGTCGAATGTCAGTGGCTCCATCGGTAGTGCCGAGTGATGCTTCCTGCGTTGCGGCGTCTTGACTCGAATCAGCAGGTCGTTCCTGTACATTGGTTGCCGATCGACTGAGAAAGAATCTGACATGCTGCTGATTGTCAAGAACGCTGTGTCATACATTTATTACGACAAGCTATCGTGGAATAACCACAAAATATGTGAACGGCCCTCGCAATAGGTTATATGTGAAATAGGTTATGGTGCGAAGTAAAGTGTTGCGCGTGCACTGTCGATCATTCGTGCATTTCGAAAAACTCAATCGGTACAATATTATGTTATGAAGCGGTTCGGAAGAGGGAACGACAGTTAGACGAGGCTCGCGTTTCGCCCTCTCGGCGATTTCGGCTGATCGTTGTCAAAAACGCTGTAAGTGAGTGTCATACGTTTTTATGGCAAGCTATCGCGGAATAACCATCGAATATGAACGGCTCTTGGAATAGCTTATGTATGGTGCGGGGTGAAGTGCTGCGCATTCGCCCGTCCATTTCGAGAAACTAAATTGGCGTAGTGTTCAGTTATGAAGCGGCTCGAACGAGGGAAACGGCAGTTGGACGAGGCTCGCGAATCCGTTTCGTTTTCTCGACGATTTCGACATATCGACGAGCGAAATATCGTTGTCGGGAGTGAGTTTCGCGCGTGTGTGTCGAAAATATCGTTGAACAATCGTTGAAAGTGAGCATTCACGTCACCGGGGTGTCGGGTGCTACTTGGCGTGTTCGTTACATTGTGCCGTCCTGACTCGAATTGTGAGTCGCTCACGGCGGACGGCGATCGTTCCCTAACATTGTTTTCGACTGACCAAGAGGGAATCTGAAACGCTGATCGTCGTCAAGAACGTTGTAAGTAAGTGTCATACATCTTTTACGACAAGCTATCGTGGAATGACCGTCGAATGTGAACGGCTCTCGGAATAGGTTATATACGGTGCGGAGTGAAGTACCGTGCGTTGTATGTCAATGGTTCTTTCTATCGAGAAACTCAATTGGCGTAGTGTTTAGTTATAAAGCGGGAGGGAACGGCATTTGGACGAGGCTCGCGAAAGGGAACGGCAGCTGAACGAAGCTCACGAATCCGTTTCGTTTTCTCGGCGATTTCGACGCATCGATGAGTGTCGCAAACGAAATATTGTTGCCTGGAGTGAATCTCGCGTGTGGGTCGAAAATATTATTGAATAATCGTCGAAAGTGAGCATCTCACGTCACCGGGATGCTGGATGCTGCTTGGCGCGTTCGTTACGTTGTAACTTTTTGACTCGAATCGTCAGATCGCTCAGCAACATTGTTTTTTCGACTAAGAGGGAATCTGAGATGCTGATCGTCGTCGAGAACGCTGTAAGTGTCATATATTTTTTCGTAGAATAGCCGTCGAATGCGAACGGAACGGAGTGAAGTAGCGCGCGTTGTACTGTCGATCGCTCGTGCATTTCTCGCGCATTTCCAGAAACTCAATCGGCGTAATATTCAGTTCACGAAGCGACTCGCGGAAGGAAACGGCAGTTGGACGAGGCTCGCGAATCCATCTCGTCTTCACGGCGATTTCGGCCCATCGACGAGTGTCGCGAGCGAAATATCGTCGCCAGGAGTGAGTCTCGCGCGCTTGACGTGGAAAATATTGTTAAACAGTCGTTGAAAATAAGCATCTCGCGGAACGAGTCGTCGGTAGTGCCGAATGGTGCTTGGCGCGCTCGTTGCATTATGGCGGTTCGAAGCTCGTATCTTTAAGTCGTTGCTCCAAATGGCTTCGACCGAACAAGGAAAAGCGGTATTATTGTCGGGAGTGTCGAAAATGAACGTGCGTTTCGTAGTGGAAAATATCGTGAAGTCATTGTAGAAAAAGAATATTTCGTGGATTATTGTCGGGTATGTCGGTTTTGTGTGCGTTCGTGGCTCGATATCAAAGGGAATTCAGACTACGCATCGCTGCAGTCTACGCTCTCACCCTCACTGAATAAGAGATTAGTAAGTATCACTACATAGAAAAAGATAATATTATACATGTGCGTATCATCATTCATTCATTCAAATCATCACGAAACGATAAATTTCTCTAAAATACAGAGAAAAGCTCATGTTACACGAAAGCAAAATTTAAAGCGAGAATAGCACACGAAATCCAAGGAACACTTTTGCCGTCCTCCTGGTTCTGTGAATTTCCAAAATTTCTTTTCGCGACACATTAAATCAATTGACGATTTTACTTCGTATAAAATCTTTATTTCTTTTGAATAAGAGATTATTTTCAAGTGCTTATCTTAAATGTAAAAATTAATTTAAATAATAAAAAAATAATTTAAATAAAAAAGAAAAGTACAAAGTAAACTCGTCTGAGTCGTTAAACTGGGAAATATCTCACGTGATAAATAATTCCACGTACCTGGAAATATATGATATGTCGTTGCCCATGTCCCCCAGCGTCCTGCATCTTTTGTCTTGTCTTCCTAGTTCAGCATTTTTCTCCCAGCTGATCCGGATACTCCACTGTGGCACTGACATTCGCGTGAGTGATTACGACGATTCGGTCAAACAGACGCGTGTTAAATAACGACAAAAGAGTTGTCCGCACGAGCTTGACTATCTGTAAGATACAGCAGCCGGCGATTGATGCGAACAAAATTTTTGGCTTGAAATTGTTGCGATATTGTCATGCGTTGTATATTCCATGACTGAGTCATGGAATACTAACGTTACATTACGGGCGAGATGTGCACACACATGTAATATATGTGTGTCAATATAATTCCTGTCGACGGATTAAAATATTTCGCGGTGTGTATGTGTATGTATTCTCGTGAGATATAATTGGACTTTATGAAAAAAAAAACATTTACTCGATGGATACTGATAATATAAAAAATATTTATATAATATATATAACATAATAATAACATATAAAATCCAAAGTTGTATATATTTTTTTAAATTTGTAGTTTTTCATGAAAGCAAGTGTTTGTTCGATTTGAATGAAAAGAATTGGATTTTATATGTTATTATATATTATTTATTATTATTATGTTATATATATTATTAAAATGTTTTTTATATTATCAGTATCTATTGAGTAAATGTCATAAAGTCCGATTATATCTCACGAGAACACACACACACACACACCGACGAAATATTTTAATCCGCCGACAGGAATTGTACTGACACATACATATATGTGTGTGCACACCTCGCTCGTAACGTTATACTTAGTCACAAAATAAGAAAGTATACAAGCGTGACAATATCG